CAAGCACCTCTACAACCTCTATGTCGGCACCACAACCACAATCAAACTAAAATCAACCACCAAAATCAAGCCAAAAAATCCTCCCCCGCTTTCTGCCCTATATATTCCCATTTTCCTCTGTATACTTTCCCCAAAACCTTGTTCCCAAAACAAAACATAGACAACACACACTAAAATCAACACCCAAAATGCATGAAATCCTACACATTCAGGGTGGTGAATGCGACAATCAGATCGGAGCAAAGTTTTGGGAGGTGGTTTGCGTCGAGCACGACATCGATTCCACCGAACAATACATCGGCGACTCAGATCTGCGGCTGGAGCGAGTCAATGTGTACTACAATGAGGCTAGTTGCAGTCGGTTTGTCCCCCAGGCTGTCCTCATGAATCTTGAACCGGGCACCATGGACAGCATCCGATCCGGCTCGGTTGGACAGATCTTCCGACAGGATAACTTCATATTTGGACAATCTGGTGCTCGGAAAAACTGGGCCAAGGGCCATTACACTGAGGGTGCTGAACTTATGGAATCGGTGCATGACGTGGTGGTGGGGGAAAGAGAGGGTGAAGAAGATGAACAGTAGTTTTTTTATTTCTTTTATTTCTTTTCTTTTTCTTTTCTTTATAATCATTTTAAATGTAAAATACAAAGTTGCCATTTTGTCCTTAATGAATTTGGTCAATTTTGACTTTTTTGATCAACTTACAGTCAAATGGACGGGTGTGAATTGTTTAAAGGTTTGATACCGTAGGTGGAATAAAACAAAGATTTGGACAAAGTCTACAAAAAAGTGAAAGGTTTGGTACCGTAAGTGCAATTTTCCCTATAAATTATGACAATAGGGCTTTTATAGGTTCTCACGGGAAACTGACGAGAAATTATACTTCCTAAGCTCAATACATGCAAGTCCAAAACGGCAAAACCTCTATAAATACACTCTCCTCCTTTCCCTTGCAAATCACTACGCTATTTCTAATATTTCTTCTGAACTAGTGAAAAAAAAAATGAGTTACTTGAACAGGGTTTGGATGGCAGCCAGTGTGGCCGTTGTCAACAGAAACACCGATCAGTCAAGCCTCAAGTCCCTCCACCATGGCAAAAGGCGTTTCTTTTCAAGCTCCTCCTCCGCCTCCCACGGCGCCGATCTGGCGGATCTAAGGCCATTTTCCGGCGCCCTCAACTCGGAGATTGGAGGATTTCTTGGGATCAGTGGTGGTGAGGACAACAAAAAACATACCGACGACTCTCTCCGGCAAGTCATGTACTTGAACTGCTGGGGTCAAAGCTGAGCCTAATTCTTCTATTTGAATTAGTTGACTCAATGAGTGGTGGAGTTGACTCGGAGCTCCCTGAATAAATAGGAGGGATTCCGATTTACGGATTTAGGCAGGTTCTGATTCAACTCTCTCGTACCAATCACTTAGAATCGAGACTGACTTGATTAGGGTTAAGAGTGTACCAGAGGAACCTTAAAACATGGACGACTCGGATGTAAATTGCTTGAGAGTCCATTGAGTCCATTTAATTATGAATTCTGTATACTTGAGCCCTGAAAATGAAACGTGAAAAAATCAAGAGCTGAAATTTCAATGGTAAATATTGTTTCAATTTGTCATATATGTTTCTCTCATATTTGAAATTACCCAAGCTTTAGTCAAAAGTGATCATAAATTTATTGATTTTTCCTGTAAAAAATTGTCCCTAAATTGTGATGGGGTCAACTTTTTGCTGAGACTATTTCAGAAAATATGTCAAGAAAATAAGGGAAAAAAAAAGAAATTGTAAAGATAAAAATTAATGTCAGCATTTTTTTTCCCTTATCCAAAATAGTGAAAAATTAAGCTACAAGAGTATCGAGCTTTGATTATACAAAACAAGACAAGAACCTTCGTTGCAAGTGAAAGGAGCAAAATAATTTGTGTTTCAATTTTAATACTTTATGTAAATGGTATTATAGTGACATTGTAGCTGTCCTTTCATATAAATTGTAGCTGTCCTCAGGCGGGCCCCATTATAGGAAAATAACAATGATCAAAGTCATAGGGGAATCATTTTAAACTTTATTAAATTCATAGTGGTGATTCCCCACCTTTGAGATAAACAATTATTAAATTGTTTCCCCTTAAGATTTGGATAAGCTCATCTTAATTTCTTAATATTTACTTTTTAGCTTCAACGTAGTTGATTGGTTTCGGAATAAAAATACAGAATCCAAGCTCTGCTTGCAGTTGAACCCATTTTCAAGAATTTGG